ATATATGTATACACACATACACATATGAACATACACACCTACATATACAATCCTACTGATTCGTTAACGTACAATTTACTTGTTCATCAGCACGTGCGACAATTGCCACGTATGTGCGGCTTCGGTTTGGCGGCGGCCGGGGGACGGGACGTGTCCCGGGCGGGCTTGAGCAACAAGTGGACAACCTCAACTGCGAAAACACACGAAGCTATCGCTATCGCAACGATAACGATCAGAATAGTTCCGGGTAAAAAAGAAGCAGCAGTCCCGATTCGAGCGCAGCGACGATTGCATCTGGGTGGCGGGTGTGACGATGGTGGCGCCGCGGTGGCAGCGGCCTTGGTGCTGTTGGTACTGCTGACGGTGTTGCTGGTGCTGTTGGCGGTCGTAATGTCGTTGGCTGGTGGTCGCAGATGCTGAAAGTACTGCCACCCTACTGGCGTTTTCTTCTGCGTGTCTGCTCGTCTACATATCTCTCACATCTGCCTCGACCGGCTTGGTCGCCTCCGGCACGACCTTCATGACTCGAGGTGAGGGAAAATGCGCGGCAGATGCTGCCGGAAAAGCGAAAAAGCGGGCTGACAGGTTGGAGACCTCTCGGACGTGTAGAGCTCACAAGTAAAGGCTCTTCTTCTCCACTTCGCCCTGCGAGAGCGCCTTCTGTTCGTGGTTCACGATTCTCTCCATGGTCCGAGAAATGCCCACCCCGGGGTTGAAACATATCTCTCGCATCGAAGCTCTAGTCAAATCCTCATGAAAGTTCTTGGGTTGAGGGTTTAGGGTCGGTTCGGGTCGCAAGTGTTCTGTGATTGACATTTCGGGGCCTACTTTCCAATGTGTCGGGAGATTCTTGCTTTCGCGCAGGATGGAGGCCCGAATCTTTGGAACTCCGTCCACCTGTGCTATACTAAGTCCGCGAAACTGGATGTCACCGAGTCTCTTGGGGCTGCAGCTTCGGAGCTCTAATCCACGGCCTTTGGTCATAGCATTAGAAAAGGCAATCATGAACGTGATCACGAGAATGCTAGACGTGGCAGCAATAGCCGTAGGAAAAATACATCGCAGGAATTGCGGTAGTAAGGTAGCAGTGGCTGGGCTCGGGCTGTACGCTGTTTGCGAGCCCCCTTGGTGCGAAAGGGTGCAGAAACGAAAAACGAAAGTCGATGAAATTGCTGCCAACCGGAGAAACCTACCTGTGGACACTTTAGCGGGTGCGACCTTTGTGGAGGCATGGACGCCACATTGCTGATGTCACTTGTACACCTTACACCAGCGACATCATATCAGTGTCCGCGCCCCAAAGATATATTGTGTACATAATTCAGGATTATAGATAGGCTTTGGGGATGTGCTTCACGGTCTTAGGGTCAGAGGGTTTCAGGGTTTAGTTTGCTAGTTGTCGTAATCCGTCGGAGTCGCAGGCGCAGTAGCAGCCCGGTAGAAGCAGATTGCATCCCTTTCGCAGTGTCAAGTCGACTCTAAGGTTAAGGGTTGGCAAGAAAGCGCTGAGACACCCCTGACCTCCAGCCCTTCCTAGATCGGGAACAACCCTCTCCCCCGAACCCGACCCAAAAAACCCTAACATGGCCTGAAACCTACGTCCCCAAAACCCCCAACAATAGTCGAGTGCGAAACTTGCCGCAACCCGAGATCGCAAACCCCGAACCCTGAGAACGACCGCATCTAATAACTCTGGATGATTATGCAGCTGTCTATCCCCAAGCCCAATTTCAACTCCTAGAGCTATTCAGGCCCCGAGGCTTACCATAAAATCGCTTCTTCCAAGCTACTCTTGCTCTCATCTAGTCATCATGAAAGATGATAGTTGTTCTTCTCCGCTTGGCAGCTGAAACTGTCCCAAAGCTCACAGCTGCCACTGGCTCAACTCGCCCCTCCCCTCGGATGCTCCGTCCGGGAGTTTAGAGTTCAGGCTTGCGTTTAGAGAGGGTTTTAGGGAGGGTTGGGATTTCTTTGGGGGGTGTGGGCTCCGAGGGCGCCAGGGTTTTGTCTTCTGGGGCCAGGGCTTGGCCGGGTCGAGGGATGTCGGATTTTAGGATCCGGGCTCGCAGATTCGGCGTTCGTCATCCTGTTTCGGATCGATGGTTCGGCTCTTGCAGAAATTGCCTGTTACAGTTGGAAGACCAACTCTGCAGGGCGTGACCGCATCTGTCGGACGATGCTGGCGCTCCCAGCCTCTCGTCGCACTGCGGCGACTGCAGTGGTAGTAAGCCGCAAAGTACGAGAAGACATGAAGACAACAGTGGAGTCAGAGCAAGAGTCTAAGAGCTAGAACAGAACAGCAATAATATATTTTCAGCAGCGTCGCACCATTTCCACCTGCCGCTGCAGGAGCAGCTGCGGCAGCAGCAGTGGAAGCACTACTAAGCTCAAACGCAACGCCATGGACAAAGGTAGATGCCACGAAAAACAACAGTAATAGGGATCTTGAGAACATGACAATAATGCAAGCTCAAGCGGCATTGCCAATGCAGCGGCTTCTTCGGGGGACAGTCTTTGCTGCTTGTCCTGGCAGGATGACTCAGCCTCCATCGATGGAGTTTTAAACGCGTATTGACGCTCACAACTGTTCCGTCTCACAGACACAGTTCCGGCGCTCACAGGCTACCGGCAAGCCCCTGCTGTAGTCCATTGCTTCACACAGGACTCCGTACTGAGCCAGAGCGACAAACATAAGCCTCGAAGCTGTGCATGGTGGTTGTCGGCTCATCAATCGTTTGCGCATGCGCGCATCTGTATATATATATATATATGTGTGTGTGTGTGTCGCAGTCTCTCGCCACCTTCGTCCATGTCTGCCTCTCTCGCGCTCTCTCTATGAATGAATGTGTATGTATCAATAAATATATGTCTGCGCGGACAAGCACTGTCCAACAGTCAAGTATTGCCTCGTTCATTCGTTCAGCTGTCTTGCTGTCTCTGTGCCTAGGCCTCACTCTTTTGTAGCCTGCCTGTGCACTTAACGAAACTTTCGTGCAAACGCCCATCATGCCAAATTCTCCGCCGTTCAACCATTTGGTGCACGAGACCCTGCCGTAGAGGCCGACCCTGCTATTCATCCACGCCTGCAGCAGCTTCCCGACCTTCTCATAGGTACGAATGCCTGCTTTCTCCTGCATCGTTCTACAATTTTCGCTTGGCTAGCTCGGGGTGCGGATGTTGAGGTCATACAAACTTTGCTCTTGTGCTACTGGTCCCCTAGTCCTAGGTCCTACGACCAACACAACGACGTCGACGACGACTAGTACTGCTGCTGCTACCACTATGACGACGACTAGTTTTTGGACTAGTATTAGCGCACATACTCGTACTCGAATTCGTACTCGTATATAGTCAGCAATTAACTACTACTCCTGCTGCTGCTGCTGCTGCAGCTGCTCCTTCACCTCCTCCTACTGGTGCTACTACCACTACCACTACCAC